AAAAAAAAAAAAAAAAGAAAAGAAAAGAAAAAGGTTCCTATCCCAAAATTACAGATTGTGCAGTGTTTTAAATGATGTTCAGGGTTACCATCATTAATTTGATCTGTCTCTAAATTCCTGTCATCATTTCCCTAAACGATGACCAAATCTGTACCATACTTACATATCTCCTAGGGCAGAGAACTCACTGCCTTCCCAGGCTGTTGTAAATGGCTAAGAGGCTTAAAGTAGAATAGGGGTGACAAGGACCCCAATGACTCTAGCAATCTGGGTTTGGATCTCAATCCTCCCTTTACAAGCCGTGAAATAGGCAGAATAATACACACCTGTGTCTTGACAGGGCTAATCCTCTGGCAACACTCAGCATTGGGCTTGTAAGATTGAGGATGAGATGGAATATGGTTCCTTCTATGGCTCAAGTTCCTCCACATTAACTAAGCACCCTATGACAGCAGGAGAAAGCCACCTGGCAATGTGCTCCCCTCCCTGGGCTAGGGGAGGGGTCTGGTTGCCCTCTGGCTTTTAGTAAGACCCTGACTGTGGCAGCCATTGCGTTAGTCCACTAAATCCTCACAGCCACTACTATTCCAATTTTACAAATTAGAACATGAGACCTAGAGAGGTTAAATAACATGTCTAAAGTCCCCAGACAGCTGAAGGAGCACAGGGTTGGTTTGGAACCTGTTTCTCTCAGACTCCCGCAGCTGGGCAGAAGGCAGCCCCAGGGCCCAGGGGGTCTAGATGGCTTGGCCACAGCTCACTTGAGGCCTCATTACCATGTATCAGGCATGGCACTAGGTCGTTCTCCTGCAGGCTGGAGGCTGCCCTCCTCCCAGCCGGCTCTGTCGGGGACTTCCTTTCTCCCTGGCTCCGTCTCTGAGCTGCTGGGCACTGCTTTCCCACCCCATTCTTTGACTCAAAGTAGGACAATTAACTTTTGTCTGTGACCCTAAGCAAACCAGGCACCTCCTGACCTGCATCTGTCCAGTGGAGGGACATATTAGATCAGTAGTTCCTAGACTTTGGGGTCACACAGACAAGAAACTTTTTTTTTAAAGGGGGGAAGTGCTAATGTAAGCTGTCAAGTTTTGATTTTGCCAAGTAAAGACTTTTCAAACAATTACCAGTGACTGTTGCCGTGAGTTCAGAAAAGGACATCTCATGAAAGTAGGAAGTTCGTAATCTCTGAATTTGTAAATGGAATCCATTTAGCCTGGTGCCAACTCACCACGTTGCCCTACATTCCCTGGATTTTGCCAAGAACTACAAAACCTTCGTGGGCAGACACAGAGCACAGGTGAGGCCCACATCCAGGAACCTCTGAGAGCCCGTCTGTGCACGTGCACTGACCAGTCTGAGGGATCCAGCTCTGTGTGGGCCACTCTGCAGGAACATGGGGTTTGGGAGGGAGGACAGTCCCTGATCTTGGAGAGAAATCACATGCAGACACAGAGCCACCATGAAGAGCAAGGCCAAGAGCACAGCATGTACTGCAGACATGGCTGGTGAGCCCCCTTAGCTAGACCCCGCTCTAGCTGTGCCCCCACCTAGAATGTTCTTCCCACACACACCCATGTGGTTCTCTCCCTCACTTCCTCTGAGCCTTTGCTCAATCTCATCTTCTCAACGTGGCCACCCAGCCCGCGTGCCCATGGCAGCCACCCCTACTTGCAACCCACCTTTATCTTGCTCAGCTTCTCCTTCTCCCCAACACAACATATCCTGTCACTGCTGATACGGCTACTGTTCACTGTCATAGTAGGTGCTTGATACGTTTGAGACTCAGACAGGAAAAATAACTTGCCCAAAGCAGCAGAGTTGGCTAGGGGCTGCACTGGAATGACCTCCACAGCAGAGACTGCTGGGGCTCCCTCCCTGCAGAGAGGTGAGGGGCAGAAGCCACTGAGGAAGTGGATGGAGGTAGGTCCTCGGGACCTAGCACACATGTTGAGTGTCTTGTGCCCCTCGGATGCCAGCACATGGTAGAGCCCAGCAAACAGCTGGCACTTAGGAAACATCTGCTGGACGAATGGGGAGGCCCACGCCCACTATCCTCCACCCTCACCCCTGAAATGGTCAGGAAGCTCTGCAAAAGTGTGTGCCTGTGTATCACAGAGACTAGAGGAGACTCAGGGACTGGACTCATACATTTTCCTTAGAGCCAAAAATGACAAATGTTTGAGCCACAGAGTGACAAAGGCAGGAGAAGCAGCTGACCCTCTCATGCATGGGCAGGCAGCCCTCTCCTGCCCTGGGCTTGGGATGGCTGTGCTGGCTGTGCCAGCCGTGCCGATGGGGGGGGGGTGGAGGAAGCAGCAGGAACAGGACTCCACTGGCTGGGCTGCCATTCCCTCCCCCAAACTTTGGATTCTTGATTTCTGCTCATGCACAGCCCACGGCTTCTTCCCTCCAGGCAACCTCCCCACACAGCCTGCCTAGCCTTGGGGCACAGCCATGCCCAGTGGGCAGGTACCCTGTCCATCCAGGGCTCCTGGTTGCAGATAGAAGCCACCCCAGGTGTTTGGAAGAAAAGCAAAAGAAACAAAAGGAGGGTAGGCAGGAGCCAGAATGCCTGCGTTGAATTTACTTAGTAGCTGTGTGAAAACTACTTCATTTCACACTGGATAAAAAAGATCTTATCTACCTCAAAGGCCTGTCTTGAAAACTATAGGGTATAAATCAACACACATAAAATGTTTAACACAATGCCTGGCACTTGGCAAATATTAAATGTTAGCTATTTATTACTTTTTCTAACATGTATATCCATAGAATCAGCTTATAACCTCCAGGGGTTCTCAACCTGTAGGTCATGACCCCTTTGTAACAATAAAAATACATCCTGCATATCAGATATTTGCATTACAATTCATAACAGTAGCAAAATTTCATTTATGAAGTAGCAACAAAAATAATTTTATGGTTGGAGGTCACCACAACATGAGGAACTGTATTAGAAGGTCGTGGCATTAGGAGGCATTAGGAAGGTCAAGAACCACTGAACTAACAGATTAGGAAGACTGTTCCCCCACCCCATCACCCATGTATACTGGTTATGACTTCTCTCTCCACTTTCTGGGTATCTCCATCTGACATATGGGATAACTGAGGCCCACAGAGGTTGCTCAACTTGTTCAAGATTACCAAGTTTTAACAATTCAAAGTCTATCTCCCTTTACCATCCCAGATTCCTCCCTGTCCCAAACAAGGAGAAGGTGGCCTGGTCACAGGTTTCTGGGGAAAGAAAACCAATACTAGGCATTCCCTTTCTTCTTGGGCAGCTGCAGGTTATTCTGAAGACCAGGAAGCCACTCTATAGCTCTCCAGGGGGATGGAGGGGAGATGATTTTCTCTACCACCTTCTCCTCTCCCAATCCAACACCATCTCTCCAGCTGCAGGAGCTCCAGAGCCCTGCCACCTGCCCACTCCCCTACTTTACTCTCTTTCTGGGCTGGTACCTCTAGCACCTGCTCGTGGACCCTTGCTCCTGGCCCTTCAGGCTGGTCTTTTTGCATTAGCTGCAGCAGAATTTTGGGGTGGGCAGAGATCACCATCTTGGAGGCCATCCAAGGGGCTGGTGGTGAAAGCCCTGAGTAGGAGCTCCAGGGGCCAGCAGCACCATACCAGGCAGGCAGCCTGTGACGCAGCCCATGGCTCTTAAAGGGCCAAGACCAGGCCACAAAAGGTGCCTGGCACTTGGTGAGCAGCAGGAGCCTGTAACAGGCACCCACAAGGACAGTGGGCTCATGTTCCCACAGCAGCTCTGGGGCCTCATCCGGACACGTGTCCTTACTAATAGATGGGGCAGCTGGAGAACACCCCACCAGCTACATAAATGAAGCAGACTCGGCAGAAATTCCATCTCAGGCTTCCTGTGCACAACCACACCGAGGTCATAACCGGCCAGACCTGTGGGAGACACTGAATCCTCAGAGGCTCACGTGGTCACTTATCACCATCTCCCTTATAATATATTAAGGAAGAGCAAGAGAGACGGATGCCCGGCAATGCCAGCTGGGCACATTCACCTGGGCGGAGACAGAGTGGTACTGCCAGGTACACAGGAAAAGAGACCTATCTGTGTAGTTGCCAGGTCAGGTCTCAGAGGCCCCCTCAGCTAGAGGAGGGGCAGGGGATACATATACCCCTGGGCAAAAACACCCAGCCTGCCCTGCCCAGCTGTCTTCTCAGTACAGAAGACACCCAGCTGTCTTCTCAGTACAGATGGCACATGGGTTCTGAAATCACCATTAGACACCTAAACGTGACAGGGAATGCTGAGTGCCCTTCACTCGACCTAGGAGGGCTGGGATGTTGGACAGTCACCAGAGATCCTTATCCACATAAGCAGGAGAGGCCTGTGTCACAGCGAGGCTGCAGTTACCTGGTGGACAGAGGCCAGCTGGGCTGTGGCAACGTCTGGAGTCAGACCTGGTTTGAATCCCAGCTCTGCCACTTCCTGGCTGGGTGACCTTGCGCAGGTGATTTCATCCACCCGAGCCTCTGTTGCCTCATCTCTAAAATGGGAGTCACAGATACTCAATGTTGTTTCTTCATCTCAAAAATAGGAGAGCTGGCTCAGGAGACTCGCTTGAGCCCAGGAGTTGGAGGTTGCTGTGAGCTGTGATGCCATAGCACTCTACCCAGGGGGATAGCTTGAGGCTCTGTCTTAAAAAAAAAAAGGCGGGGGGGGGGGGGAGCACAGTTCCTTCAACCCCGGGGCTGTTTACAGACAGGCGGGCTCTATTGAGAGGGTTAATGAGATGATACACGCTGGGCAGCACAGCAATAGCTCATGATATTGGATTAAAGATCCTGCCCACTAGGTGGCTCAAGCAGCCCTTGCTGTCCTCTGGGCTCCCCCTGCTCGGTCCCAGGGCACAGGCATGCTAAGAGACAGCCCCCAGCCCCACAGCCCTCGGTCCCTGTGGGAAGCTGGAGAAAATTTCTCCTGTTGCCATATAAGGCCAGGCCTGGATGGCCTGGGGTCACCTTCTGTGTCACTAGGGTGCAGAGAATGCCAGCTATGTGGGGGGAGTAGGCAGTGCTCGCCAGTTCTGCCCGCTCCAGTCGTGTGGACACGTCCACATGCGTGTACACACAAACACCCACAGAGGAGGCCCAGCCAAGCTTAGAGATGAAGAAAATAGGTGAGGTTCAAATTGCAGCTGCTAAACCCAAGCACCTTACTGAGCCCCTGGAGTCCGGCTTTCTGTGAAATGGCAATACCCAATAGTACCTCCCCCCCAGGGTTATAGTGGGCATTCCATGAGCTAAACCAAGTGCCAGAAATTGATAGCCAAAACTAAAGTGAAACCAACAAAACAGTGCATTTTTTTACAGTCCCCCATTCCTTCCTTCTACCAGGACTTCTAGAACCACCTAAATCTCCTATTTTTATTCTTGAATCCCTTATAATCACAACAGCTATGAAGGAGCTACCCTGCTGCCCTCTGGAAGCAGGCCTGCATGAGAGGAACTCGGGTGCTGGCCCAGAGAAGCCCCCAGAGCTGCCAGCCAGGCTGGGCTTTGTCCCAGGCAGCAGCCACAACAGTGCCCAAGTTGCCTGGCACAGCAGTTGGTAACACTCGGCAGTGAGCCCGGTCCCACATGGTTTCCTGTTTCCAGAGGGCCACCGGGGAGCTGTTCAGCCCAGTTCTCCCCCAATCCACACTGCAGTGGGGCAGCAAAGCTGCACCCCAAAAGCAGACAGATAAGCTGTCCACACAGTCTCCCTAGCAGGCACTCTCCACCCCAGCCCACAGCCTTGGGTGAACTGGACTTAGATCCCCACACAGAGTACTTCTCCCCTAGTCTGCAAAGAGCTTCCATCCGCTGCTCTCCACTGTTGCAGGGACTCGAGGTCCCTGCTCCCATTCTTGGCTGGAAAGATTAAGGCTCTGTCAGGCTGAGCAGCCAGTATAGGCCATGGTATCTTTCCCACTCCCTGAATCTTGAGGCCCCAAATAAACAAATGATAACCATCAGGACAGCAGCCAGCTATCCATAGCACTTTATGTAGATTATCTCACTGAAAAATCGCAACCACCACCATCTCCCTCTGGAGAGAAAGGCTCAGAGACATGAAGTGGCTTGCCCAAGGTCACAGGCCATGGTGAGCCACCTTGCCCCGCTGGGGTAGGGAAGCAGCTCAAGCTTTCAATTTGGTCATGGAGCCTCCTTCCTACAGGGACCCAGATCTTGGGTCCTAGCAGAACCTACAGCAGCCTGGACTCACGTGACCAGAACAACATCAAGCAATGGCAAGCTCTGCTACTGGCTCCTATGTGACCGTGGGTCAGCTGCTTGCCTCTCTCAACATTGGGGAGTCCCAAGATCGTGAGACCACAGCTCCTTGCTCCCCCTTCCCAGTCCCAGTGCTGCTTAGATCAGTCCAGATGCCACCTTCCTCCCCCTTCTGAACCAAGGCAGTCCACTTCCCAAAACAACTCTGTAGCCTCCTCTCACCCTCCATCTCCCTTCCCGAGGGCGGGGTTGGCACAGAAAGTCCCATGCACTCACAGCTCTTCTGGCTTGTCCAACTATGGTCACTTCACCCACCCATCTCTAGCTGTTTCTGGCTCAGGGTCCTGCTGACTGTGGGCGGATTCAGCCAACTCAGAACCCACCCACCACAGTGGCCCATGGGGCTATATGAGGTCAGGGTCCCAGGCTCCTGTCTAGAGAGCAAGAGCAGCCAAGACAGAGGTCAAGCACAGAAGGACCTGGGAGGGAGCCCAGCAGTGCCCTGGACCCGTAGAAGCCCCAGCCAGATGTCCGGGCAAACTTTCAGCCTCTGTGCTCAAGATGGTACCAGGAGGCAAGGTAAGGGTGGTGGGAGGGGGCCAGAGTTTACCTACAGGGATCTTGAGGTCCCTGAATCCTCCATGGGATACCTGTAGCCAGGAGATAACAGACAAGCTGCCCACTTCAAAGCAATCCAAGAAAACCAAGGAGACTCCCGACTGCAAGCTGCTGGCAAGAAGGGACATGACCCAGGGCCCTCCTCCCCAGCCTTGTCCAGACCTCTGCTGACCCCACCAGCATCCCACTTAGGAACTTTGGGCTGGGCTCAGACCCTACATGTCCAGTGGCTTGGGAGGGCCAGCAGGGGGAATGCCTAGGCTCTTTTCAGTGGGCACACCTCGGCCACCACTTAGGAAGGAACGTGGGGATGATCCCTGAGGAAGCACTGTGTAGTGGACCCAGCATGCTTCAGCTTCATGTCTTCCCTCACTGAGCCCTCACAGTGAGTGATGAGAGGCCCTGGCTGATGACCAAACAGCTGTCACCCCAGAGAGCCCAGATCTAACCCCAAGTCTTGTGAAAGCCTAAAGCCACTGGCTATGCTACCTTTGAGCTTTGGCCTATGCAGACAAGTCTTGACATCGTGTCTTATCTTCTAGAATCTACATGGTCATTAAATAAACTTATGAAGCTCCCACTGGGCGCCAGGCAACAGCAGGAAGGATTTCTTCATAGGAATCCACCAGAACCGGCAAGAAAAGCATCGGTCCCTTAGGCAACCTTTCCTTAAAGTCGGAATGCGAAAGAGTTGTGTTTGGAGGCGCCAGGAGGCAGCAGGCCCGGGGGAACTGCCAGCCATCTCCCAGTGAGCCTACGTGCAGCGGTGGGAAGCGCCCAGGCCTGGGGTCCCTTCCCGCCAAATCCCTGCGGCCGGTCCCTACAGGGCTTGCGGGGAGCCCCGAGGCGGCGGGCATCCAGCTCCCCACCAGCCCCACCTCCCCAGCCTGAGAGTAACTTGCAACCCGAGACAGCAAGCCCGGAGCTGGGAGGTGGAGGCGGACCTACCTGGTGCGGAGGCTACAGGGCTGGGGACGGAGGGAGGAAGCTGGGGGAGCCCGAGGAAAGGGGAGAAGCGGGGTGGCTGTGGCGGCCCGTACGGCCTCGAGGACAGAGGTGGCACGTCGCGCGGCCGGGGCGACTCACAGGCTGCCCTGGCGGCAAGGCTTACCCGGTTGATCTCCGCCAGCCTCCTCTCCTGCCGGGCTTTGAGTAAACCGAACGCCTTCCCTCCTGCAGGAGACAAAGAGGCGCCGGGGCAGCGGGGGCCTCCCCGGGCCGCGCGCCCCCGCCCGCCCAGTTCCCGCGCGCCGCGGACCCCTTCGTCCGCCGGGCGCGCACAGGTGGCACCGGGGGACCCTGGGCGCAGGACGACGTGGGGACAGCAGCGCCTACCTTGGAACCTGTTGCCGAGCGCGACCGACATGGTGAGCACCGGCTCCGCCGGCTCAGGACTCGCGGCCACGACGAGAGACGGCGAGGAAGGATAGCGCCTGGTCCGAGTTCCCGCTGCGTGTGGCGGTGGGACCGAGGGGTGGAGGGAGGGCGCGCGCGGCCGGACACACCCCTCCCTCTGCTGCCGGCCCGCCTCCCGGCCCTCCCCGCCTCCCCCCTCCCGCCTCCGGAGCCGCACGCCTCAAAGCGGCTATTATACCGGACCAGGAGCCGCCCCTCGGCCCGGGCGGCCCTCAGCCCCTCCCTCTCCCCACCTTCTCCGCTGCTGCCCCAACTCGGCAAGTCCCTTCCCCAGAAACAAAAAGGGACAATCTTAGTTGGAACTAAAGGGGGCATTTGTGAGGATCCAGTGCTGTCCGCGCGTCGTCGGGGAACAAGTGCTCAACTTCGGAGGCTGTCACCTTGCTGCCCTTCGTGGCACATCAACTCAACTGTAATGCATTCCTGTCTTGTTAAAACCCATCACCTGGGCTCTGACTATGCACCATATTCTTTGCGCAGTCTTCATTCTCAAAACTATGAAATAGGACTCAGGTGTTCTCATTTCCTAGAAGAGAAAAGTCAGGAAGCTGAAGCCTGGGGGGAGCCTTCACCAGCACGGTGACCCAGCCCATAGTTCCAGGAAGGGTAGAGCTCAGGGTGCAGGCACCAGGACTTGTAACAAGGTGACCGTGAAGTCTAATGTCCAAGTCCCGACGGTCTGAGAATAAAGAGGGCACACCAATTATGCTGGGCGGCAGGTACAGAGGAGGATTGTCCTGGACGCACAGTACAACTGGTCTCCAGGAATGACCACTGCAGCACCAAGCATGTCTCTGGGAATTAGATCCAGAACGTCTCCTTCCCCAGGTCATCTCCATCTTGACCCTAGGGTTGGGATCCTGAGACCAGACGCTCATCCTTTTTTCTGTGGCTGCTCACTGAAGGAAGTGGCCAGGGTGCCCTCAGCACCTGTACAGGGGACAGGCCACCACTGTTCAGCACAGCCAGTGCCTGCTTTTCTCTTTTGCCCATTCTCTCCTAGGGTTTGGATCAGACCAAGCTCTGCGACCTTGGGCAAACCACCAGATCTGGCCAAGCCTCAGTCCCCTTGTCTGCAGAATAGAGGAAAATAGAATTTCTCACTAAGCAGGGGCTTTATAACGTTGATTACTTTCTGGGCGGTTTATGCAAATAGAACAAGTTTGGAGGGAAAAAAAATACCTTGGGCGCCACCTGTGGCTCAGTTAGTCTGGCGCTGGCCCCATGTGGGTTCAAACTCAGCCCTGGCCAAACTGCAACAACAACAAAAATAGCCGGGTTGTGGTGGGCACCTGTAGTCTCAGCTACTCCGGAGGCTAAGGCAAGAGAATCACCTAAGCCCAAGAGCTGGAGGTTGCTGTAAGCTGTGATGCCACGGCACTTTACCAAGGGCAATGGAGTGAGACTCTGGCTCTAAAAAAAAGAAAAAAAGAAAGAAAAAGTTTGGAGGGAAGAGGGCTTAGATGTTGGTCGATGAGCAGTTTTCCTTCTGGAAGCCAAAGAAGGGGATAACTTAGAACAGGCCTCTCACAATTCAGTTCTTGGTCCAGGCTCAGATGGCCTATTGCCCTGACCACTTGGGCTGTTGGCGGCAGTCAGCCATCTTGTAGGAAGGGGGCCACCCCACCTTGTAATGTCCATCTGCTGGGCTGCATTGCTGGCCAGATGTTCAACAGCTGCCACATTCCAGTCAGCAGCAGCTCCACCTCTGGGCCAGAAAGTGGCTATGCACATGCTCCAGGAATGATCAGCCCTCATGAGTCACAAGTGTCAGGCCTGAGGAATGGAGAGGAAGCCTGTTCTCCACCCTTTGGGGATGCAAGAATGGAGCTTTGGGGAGCTCCGCGGCTTGCGTACATAAAGGCTAGATGCTTAGAGCAGGCATCAGAATGGCTGTGTGCCCTGTCAGCAGAGAAACTAGGGGCATGGGGGGACATCAGACCCTTTCCCAAAGGTCCTAAGAACTCTTGTCTCCTTGGCACCACTATACCAGTCACCAAACTCTTTGGAACAGCCGCTCCCTGTCTTCAGCATCTCCTCTCTGACCCTGGAAATCTACCAAGTCTCTAGCTCAGCTCAGTGATGTCCCACCCCAAACCTCCCTGCCTTGACTTTAAGGTTATCTGTGGAGGAGTACACCTCTTCTCTGAACAGTGTCCCCCATTAGGGCGAGGAGGTCATGGTCATCTCATTGTGGCCTTGGATCCAGAGATCCCTGTTATCCTGAACAGGGATTAGGGGACCCAGCCTGAGCTGAGAAGCTGGAATCAGGAGAATTGCTGCCACCTTGTCTCTTGCAAGTGTTGGACCTGAGAACATGTACACACAAGGCCATAGTGGGACAGGGAGGCAGTGGAGTCTCCCCTTCCAGCAAGTGCAAGCAAAGCAAAGCAAACGACTCCATAAAGAGAAAAAAGCCAAGCAGACAAGGAGCGTGGGGCAGAGGCAGAGACCAAGAGCAAAGGCAGGAGGGAGGAAGGGGGAAGCTTTCCCACCCTGGCGCCTCAGGCTCCCCTCGGGCTGTCCCCAAGGCCTGGCAGCCTTTCCCACCCAGGTTCCAAATGACCCTCCCAATAGATTCCCTTTTTCTGCTTAAAACAGTGGGGAGGGGTTTGGGCCTTGGGGCAAGAGCCCTGATAACTCACTCCATAATCCCACCCCCATTCAATCTAGTCCTCAGAGCTATCCTAGCTGGCCAGGCTCCCACCCTGCAAGCCCTGGGGTATTGCCCACCCTCTTGCTTGGAATCTTTCCTCCTGCCCCTCACCCTTCAAGGCCAAGCCCAATGACCTCCACCTCTCCTAAGATGTTCCTCCCTGCTCCTTGTTGTGCTTTGAATTCCTGTGTCCAGCCTGCACAGAGGTCAACTGAGGGCCTCTTTGTACCCTACCCTCAGGCTCCTCAGCCCATAGACTTTGCCTGATAAGTGATTGATAGCACAGAGGACGGGGTAGGTACCTATAGTCATAGGACCCCAGTAGAACCCCCCAGTGGGAAGACACTAGCAAACCCATGAACTCTGGTTCTGCCCACTTCCTACCATTGCATGTGCAAAGGGACCACTGAATGCTTCCTCTGCCTACACACTGGCTTTCCCTGGGTTGTGTAGTGTGCAGCCCACAGCCAGGGCCTGGTGCCCACCCTCAGAGAGGATCAAAGGCTCACCATCCAGCTCAGTAAAAGGGTCCTTTATTCCCACATTAAACAGAATTGGTCTACCCTGCCCCCCCAACCCACCCTACCCCCATCATCTGAGTGCCAAGGCACTGCTGTCTGTTGGAGGAGGGCCCAGGAAAGGGGAGGAGTGCCAGGAGGAAATGCCAGGGAGTCCTGGGCAGAGGCCACACAGGGGCCTGGCCACAGGGGGGTTCCCCAGGCATGACAGACTGGACTGCAGCCATGCTTCCACACCCCTGTGGCCTCCCTCATGGCAGGTGGGGCCACAGGACTGGTGAGTGGAATGTCAAAGGCCTACTGGGTTACTGGCGCCATAAAGGGGTGCTCTCAGCAGCCTGAACCCCCATGACCCAGGTCCCCTCCAGTCTTTGATGGCCTGGCTCTTTGGACAGATTGCAGGCTGAAGGGGGGTGGGGCCCAGGGCAGGTGATTCCTCCAGTGTCCAGTGCAGTCTCAGGGTTGCAAAAGGAAAGTGTCTGGAAAAGCTAATAGTGCCTTGCCAGGACAGGCCTTGCTCCAGGCCCCATCGTGGCCTCTGGGGTCCCCGGGCCCAGAATCTACTGCTGAGAACCCTTCCAGATCTTGTGTTTCTTGGCCTGCTGACCCGTGGCTGTGTAGGGCTATTTGGTACCCACTCCCACTGGCAGGCAGGAGGCAGCAGAGGGCAGCTCTGGAATTAGTTACTCCAGCTCTTGCTGAACCCTGGATTTCTGCAGATCTGCTAAGATCTCTCTGCTATCTGGAACAAGAGGTGGGCATGTTAATGCTGCCGGGTCTCTAATGCACATCTCATCCAGCACCTCTGGGTGCCTAGTACACAGGTGGCTTTCAGCAGCAGCTGTGGACTCATTAACATGTGTGCCTGCCTGGATGGACTTGAACATGTGTGTGCATCACACACAGGCATGTACCCACATGTGCATGTGCACATGTTGTTACTGACATGGGTATGTGTTTATGCCTGTGCAGGGATGGGAGTGTGCACAGATGCCCCAGTGAGCCAGGTATGCACACTAGCTTCTGTTCACAAGGTATCCACAACAGCCGGTTCTGGGCATGCTGATGTGCACAGATGGGCACATCTGAGGGTAGGGGGCAGAGTTTGCATGTCCTGGAACATGAAAACAGCAGGTGGAGGAGTGTGTGCAGGGGTCTGAGAAGCCCTCACTGCCAGCTGGCGCAGTGCTCAGGCAGGCTGTGCAGAATGGCCTCCAAGTTCTTCTTGTCAGTGCGGATCTGGGTGAGGTCATTCTCGAAGCTTTGGATCTGCAGCTCCTGCTGCTCAGACTCCTGTTCCAGCAGCCTCAGTTTCCCCTGCAGGGTCCCTGGTGAGCTCAGCTGCAGTCTCAAGCGTTCCAGAGCCTGCTGAGTCTCATTCAGGGCCCGGGCTGGGGCTTGATTGGCATCCAGAGACCCTGGAGAGGGGCACAGACATCCTCAGTGTGACCCAGCTTCCCCGAAGGCCCCAGGAACCTGCTCAGCCCCCTCTCTGAGAGTCTCCCCTGCTCAGACTTCCCAGAATTCTGCTGTTCACCATCACCATGGGAAGTCAAAGTTCAAGACAACTGTGTGGTGAGGTTGGTAAGGGCCCAGCCACCCCAAGTGCTCACATGCAGACCCCTGGAGCTCCCCTGGATGACACTGGGCAACTGTGAATTTTTGTTGATGGTGTTACTATTATTGCTAAAAAAGAAGTCCCCAGGTGGGTCCTCTCTGAACCTCAGTTTCCTCATCTATAAAACAGTGCATGTGAGAGAGAGGTTCACATGATTTCTGCTGGCTCCAACACACTACCATCCATTCACCCAGAGTGTGCCAGAGTGTGGGTATCACCTGGGTAAACAGCACGGTCTCTGGCTTCAGAGCAAGGATAGGGGCAGCTGGAGCAGGGACTGTAGGCCTGGAAAGTGGGCAACAGGGTCCTCACCCTGGCCCCTATGTGAATTAGCTCTATTCCTTAGAGTTAAGGACCTCTCTGTACCTCCCCAACCCCTAGACAAGGCTGTAGGGCAGGTGCTCACATTAGAACTTGATAGTGATTGTGGAATGAGATCCATGGGCTGCCTCTTCCACCTGACCCTTGTCATCTTGTCATTGTTGACATTCAACAGAAAGACAGAGCTCAGCCAGGTAGGAGAGTGACAGGGATGAGAAAGTAAGTTCCAGTGGCTTCTAATCCCCCAGGATCCCACTGGCCCCCAGGGCTCCTGAATTTCTTGGGTAGGGAAGGCTGAGCCAGGGGCAACAGCTCCAGGAGCTATGCCAAAGCCAGAGCCCTGCTGCTGGGGAAAGTTCTGCTCCCAGCAAAGACCTCAAGAGGCCCCATTGTCCACAGGAAAGTCCAAACAGCCTGGCCTTTGAGGAGATTCAAAATTGGGTTACAGCCACCATTCTACCTGCCCAGGCTGTCTGGGGGTTCCAGGGGTAGCGTCCAGGTGTGTGTTGCCATTCTCCTATCCCCAGGTCAAGCACAATGCCAGCACAGAGTCTGATAAGTGAATAACAGTGACAGTGGCCTCAGTGGTTTACACTCACAGTGTCCAGTACAGACTAGTGGCTCTGAGTCAGTAAGACCACATGTGACTGTCCCACTGACTGGCTGCGGGGCCTTCGGAATGTTATCTGTGCTCTCTGTGACTCCGTTTCCTCATTTGCAAAATGGCAAAAGAGCCAGTGTCCTTGCATCAAAAGGTCAGTATAAGAATTCTCTGAGGTCACATTTGTGAGTAGCTTAGCACAGGCCTGGTGTCCAGACAAAATGTAGAACATGGTGATTCTTCGTCCTTTCAGCAGTAAGAATAACTGAAAAGGCATGCTGTCAGGCAGATGAGCCTTGAAGACAATACATCAGGTGAAATAAGCTAGTAAGAAAAGAGCAAATTCCACAGGATTCACTCACACGAGGTCCCCAGAGTCAAGTTTATGGACAGAAAGGAGAGTGGCTGAGTCTGGGGATGGGGAAGGGTGGAAGAGTTAGTATCTAATGGGGACAGAGTTTCCATCTGGAAAGATGAAAAGTTCTGGAGGTGGGTGGTGGGGACAGTGGCACAGCAATGTGACTATACACTTAAAAATGGTTAAGCTGGAAATTTTTATGTGTATTTTACTACATTTTTAAAAATGCATGCTGTTCAGCCTGGTGCAGTGACTCACACCTGTAATCCCAGCACTTTGGGAGACTGAGGCAGGAAGATTGCTTGAGGCTAGGCATTTGAGACCAGCCTCTTAGTGAGACCTTATCTCTACAAAACATATAGAAAAATTAGCCATGCATGGTGGTACATAACTGTAGTCCCAGCTGCTCTGGAGGCTGAGGCAGGAGGATTGCTTGAGCCCAAGAGTTTGAGGTTGCTGTGAGCTATGATGATGCCACGGCACTCCACATGCTATTCATTTCAGCCCAACTGCTCTGACTGCTGTCCTCCCAGCCTTGCTGATGTTGGGATGCGCTGTCCCCTTTATTCAAAATGCCTCCTTGCTAAGGCCCATCTTGAATCTGATCTCTTTCCTAAAAGCCACTGTTTACTGCCCCTCACTACATACGTTACACTGTAGTAAGCACTTTCCAAATTGCCCACTATTACTCCCACTTTACAGATGGGGGAACTGAGGCTCAGAGAGGTGAAGTGATTTTCTTAAAGTCTCATATCCAAGAAAGGCATAGAGCCAGCACCTGATGCTCAACACCACACTTTCTTCTGTGACATTCTCTCTTCTCTTCAACCCTCAGTCACTGAGGGCTCCACCCGTGTTTCCCTCCCCCACCAGACTAGAGGCTCCTAGAGGCACAAAGAGTTACTCAATGTAACTCAACTCCTAGACACCAGCCCTGCTGCACATGGCCCAGGGGCCTGGGGTGGGTACAAAAGCCTGCAATGGACCCTGAGGATAGGGATGAAGCAACCTGTAAAGGTGAGCAGGAGGAGGAAATCTTGCCTAGGACTGGATCTTGAGAGAAGATCCTCAAGATGCCCCAGGAGCTCAGGGCCCAGCCCCAGGGTCTCCTTACCCAGCCTGGCAAGTAGCTCCGACAAAGCCTCTATGTCCTTCTTCAGGGAGAGGCGCGATTCCTGGATCTGCCGCTCCAACTCAGTCAGCCCGGCACCCACCTTCCGGGGAGGGAGGAACAGCTTGAGTGCCACCCCCCACACCGCTGTCAGAGGAAGGAGGATGGGATGGGAATCTTGCACACATACCCGCTCAGCTTCCTCCTGCTCCCGTCTAAGCACTGCGGATGTCAGCACCTCCTGGGAGGCCTGTCGGAGTGTGGCCTGTGTCTGGCTGGCAAGTCGGCTGGCACGGCGGTGCCCCTGCTTCCCTTCCCTCAGCAGGGCCTTGGCAAGCTGGGGGGGCAGGGAGAAGAGGGTGATAGAGTGGTAAAGAGCTCTTACGGCACTAATGCCAGGCAGTCATTTGCATCACACGTATCATCCGTTCAACGAGTACGTACTGAGTACAGGCTAGGTGCAGACTGCTGGATGCTCCTCCTCCCTCCCCAGCAGAGAGATTCCAGCTACTTTCCAGGGGGGACACAGAGGCACAGAAAGGGGAGCTGGGCAATGTCTAAGCGGCATGACAAGAAACCATGAAAAGGCAACCAGGAAGGAGCTTACTTGGGGTGTGAGCAGCAAAGCCAGCAAAAGAGCTGGGGAGACACACATCTAGTGTGACATGGCCCCAAAGAAAGAAAAGCCCACAGGGGTGTCCAACCTTTTTTCTCTGCTGCACATTGGAAGAAGAGGAGTTGTCTGTCTTAGGCCACACATTAAATATACAAATACTAACAAAACTAATTAGCACACACAAAAAATGGTCTGTGCATACTTTTCATGATATCTGACACCACAGATAAGCAAAAAAAGTCCTCACAGGATCAGCATGGCCTGTGTGGGCTACAGGTTGGACAGACCAGGTGCAAGTCCTGGTTAAATGCATGAACCTTGCTGGGCCTCAGTGTCCTCATCTGTACAATGGGGACAGCAAAGACACCTACTTCATGAAGAACCAACAAGGGCACTATGTGACACTCTGAGCTAACAGCTGGGCCTCTGTGCTGGTAATGAGTGTGGAGTAGTCAGCATCAAACACTGGGAAAGGTCCACAGGGTAGGGTGGCTCTCAGATGGCAGCCCTTCTGCAGGCCCAGAAGGAGGGGGCTATTGTACTCATGCCCTGACCTGGGCATTGTCCTTGGCCAACAGCTCTGCTTCTCTGCCCTTCTTCTTGGCGCTGGAGGAGTGAGATGCCGCATTTCCCAGCATCCTCTCTGCATGCTTAGTCGTCTTCTTCGCATCTGCAAGGAGCCTGTCCCTGACGATGCCTGCCTTCCTCCGCAGCACGGCCTGGTCTCTGGGCTGAGGAAACCGCGGCTTCATTCCTGTAAACCCAAACAAGGCTGTGTCGGGAGAATCACATTCCCACCTCCAGGGCCTGCCAGGAGGTCACTGACAGGAGCCTAAAAGGCCCCAAGCCCTTGGATAACACAAGTGGAGCTCAAGTTGCACGAGGCCGGTGTATAACTTCCTCAGACTCATACAGGACACACTGAATTTAATTACGATATTTACCAAAGTCATAAAGTTACATGGTGATCAATGCCTGGGCCAGTAGCAAGGGTGGGGATGCCAGCACAGTCCATGGCTGGATCTGCTCATTTCTTAATTTTTATGCACCACCTATTTCTAACAAGCTTTGAGAATGTGTGTAGTGACAGATAAATCAACAATGGGATCATTACAGCAGAAAACCAAGAGCCAGTATATTATTACATTGAAATTTTTGACACATATGATAGACTGCCCTAACTTATTGTTCTTGCTAGACTTACTAGAACAAATAATAATGGTGACAGTGAATATCTTTCTCTCGGTTCCAAATTTAATAAGAATTCATCCAATGTTTTGCCTTTATTATATTTTGTTGGTTTTTGTGATAAACACTTCTATCATGTATAAAATTTTTCTTTAATTTCAGTTTACTATATATTTTTAACAAAAAAACACTGAATTTTATGCCTCTTTGGTATGTATCAAGCTGATCATATCATTTTTTATGATTTACCTAGTAATGATATAAATGCAATTAAAAAAATGTTTAAAATTTACTGTCCTTGAATTCTTAAAATAAATCCTACTTGGGAAAAGGTATATATTAAAAAAAAAAAAAAAGAATACCAAGAGCCATCTGTAATGAGAGGTATAAAAAAAAGAAGGGAAAGGAATGAGAAGTACCAGAAAATTAGGATAATGGTATTTCAGGAACCGAATGTACTATTTACCTCTGAACTCCCAAGCAGCCAAGACAAAACTTAAGTGCTAACAATTTTCATAGATTTTACTATCCAGTAAAAAGGAGTTTCCATTTTTGTATAAAGAAACTTTTTTTTCCTTTCTGATAAAATTCTACGGGAAACTTATCATAAGAAGTACTGATTGCAGTAGATAAAGTCAAGTTTTTAAAAGCATCAAACCTGGCTTAGCACCCACAGCACAGTGGTTACGGCGCCAGCCACATACACAAAGGGTGGCGGGTTCAAACCCGCCCCAGGCCAGCTGAAACAACGACAACTGCAACAAAAAATAGCTAGGCATTGTGGCGGGCACCTGTAGTCCCAGCTACTCTGGAGGCTGAGGCAAGAGAATCGCCTAAGCCCAGGAGTTGGAGGTTGCTGTGAGCTGTGATACCACACACTCTACTAGGGCGACATAGTGAGACTCTGTCTCAAAAAAAAAAATAGCCAGCGTTGGGATGGGTGCCTGTAGTCCCAGCTACTTGGGAGCCTGAGGCAAGAGAATCGCTTGAACCCAAGAGTCTGAGGTTGCTGTGAGCTGTGACGCCATAGCACTCTACCCAGAGTGACAACTTGAGACTGTCTCAAAAATAAAATAAAATAAAAGTATCATGCCTTCTAATCTCTGGGGGCATGTTATTACATAATCATTCTCTCTAGAAGTTAGATCAAGAAATTGCTTCTTGGCTCGGTGTCTGTGGCTCAAGCAGCTAAGGCGCCAGCCACAAACACCTGAGCTGGCATGTTTGAATTGAGCTGGCCCTGCCAAACAACAATGATGGCTGCAACCAAAAAATAGCTGGGTGTTGTGGCAGGCACCTATAGTCCCAACTACTTGGGACGTGGAGGCAGGAGAATCACTTAAGCCCAGGAGTTGGAGGTTGCTATGAGCTATAATGCCACGCCACTCTACCCAGGGTGACAGCTTGAGGATCTGTCTCAAAAAATAAACAAAAAAGAAATTGCTTCTTGTACCCCAAATTGATGTTTAAAGTGCATTCAGTGGAAGCCTCATTCTATAGGGTGTTAATAAACATTAGAGGGTAATGTCAATTAGTTTTAAGTGAGCCAAGTTTCTTTATTACAGGACTACTCAGAGCCTTTAATATTCTTTTTTTTTTTTTTTTGCAGTTTTTGGCCTGGGCCGGGTTTGAACCCGCCAATTCCAGTATATGGGGCCTGTGCCCTACTCCTTTGAGCCACAGGCACCACCCAGAGACTTTAATATTCTAAAGCAGTGATTTTTAACCTTTTTTATATCACAGCACACTTGAACCCATAGTTATATTTCCATGGCACACTTGAATTCTGTTGATCAAAAAAAAAAAGTAAAAACAAAGAATATACTTACTGTGCTTTGAAATTCTTTTGAAAGTAATTTCATTAATGATCTTTCAAATTTTTCACAGTACTCCTAAGATCCTCTTGCAGCATACTGGTTAAAAAATCACTGTTCTAAAGGGTCCTCTATAAGGCCTCAAGGGGTGCTACAGGACGAGATATTTCCTAAAATGATTTGAACACAAACCCTCTCTTTATAGAAATGAATTATAGGTTAGGAGACCCCTAGGCCACACCCTGAGGAAGGCTGATCCACATTTCATGGGTGAATTTTCCTTTCATCCTGAACACCAACTGAACCCAGGCCGGCTGGTGATAGGAGGAGGTATCTCTGAAATGGGTTGGGATTGGAGAAAGAACCTGGGGTTAGAGGTCTGAGGTTCACCCTCGTGCTGACTATGGGGCACTGCCAGGGAGGCAAATTTCCGCCCAGTACGTGTGAGAACTTTCTCATTCTCAGAACCACCCAACAATGAGAAGGTGACACCTGGTGAGGTAGTGAGCACCCCATTATTATTATGGTTTTTTTTTTTTTTTGAGACAGAGTCTCACTTGGTCACCCATGGTAGAGTACTGTGGTGTCATAGCTCACAGTAACCTCAAATTCTTGGACTCAAGTGATTTTCTTGTGTCAGCCTCTCAAGTAGCTGGGACTACAGGTGCCTGCCACAATGCCCGGCGAGACGAGGTGTCACTCCGGCTCACATTTGTCTCGAACCTGTGAGCTCAGGCGATCCACCTGCCTTGGCTTCCCAAGGATTACAGGCATGAGCCACCACACTTGGCCTGAGCACTCCATTGTTAGAGATAATCAAGCTAAGGTAGAAAAGCCCCCTCCTGGTGTGGGATTTCCAGTAGACTTTGAGACTCCCTATAATTTCAATGTTCCATAATTATATATCATTGATGTACATTTTCCTAAACATGACTCTAGATCAGGGGTCCTCAAACTTTTTAAACAGGAGGCCAGTTCACTGGCCCTCAGACCGTTGGAGGGCCGGACTGCAGGCCCCAGGACGAGTCAGCTGCTAAGCAGGACAGGCAGCAGTGGCAAAAACACCCAGCGGGCCAGATAAATGTCTTAGACAGGCCACATGTGGCCCACAGGCCGTAGTCTGAGGACTCCTACTCTAGATACACAAGCACACACAGCTTCATTTATCCTGGAGAAAGCCCCCTAACCAGTAGGTGACCAGGACTCCAGGCTACTGGGAACCTAAGGAATAGGAGGCAGTGACCAGTCCCTCCTCTGCTCAGAGGGCCCGGGCATCTGGCTGAACTACATCTCTACGTGCAGTGGGCAAGATGGGGAGGGACACACAGAGCCAGGGTGACAGCCATGGCCTGACTTCTGGAGCCCCAAGAAACCTCTGGGGCTCAGGTGTGTTCCTGCCTTATCTAGTCTCTTGTACAGAGAGCCATGGCTACAGGGGTAGGTGGCTTCTCTCTGGAGCAAAGAGGATATTGCAGAAGCCCAGTAGGTAGGGAGAGTCTGAGGTGAAGAATCATCGTACTTGCTGGTTTCTATTTCCTGCTCAGCTTTGACCCAGGGATGGATAGCAATTTCCTCAGTCTACCCATCTGTAAAATAGGAGCACTTGGTCTATTTTCCTAAAGCTCAGAAGACACTTGGACCGCCTAACCCACACCCCTTTCTAGGGAGAAACTCCACCTCCCTTCCTGTAGTTCCAGCTCAGCACTGGACTGAGGCAGTTGTATTCGTACACTATAACTGGCCCCCAGGGCAGAGTGGACTAGACCAGGGTGGACAGCCAGTGATATGAGATTCTTATCTGGGCCTGAGGGGCTCTGCATGGTCTGATGACACTGGGGAAATGGGGAAGTACTTGGTGAGTGACATGTCAGAAGAGGAGTGAGGGCAGCCATGGGAGAGACCCTAAGAGGAAGAGGGAACCGTCTGCCTGGCTTCAGCCCACAAGCTGGACTTCAGAGCAAGCCTGCTGTGCCTGAGTGGGAGTTGGGTGGTGTCTGTGCATCACAGAGCCAAGCCAGACACACATACCTTCCAGGTCAGCCAGCAGGGTCCTGGCCCCCATGGTGGTCACTGTGGCAGCCTGGACAGATGAGGAAGCTCGGGTCAGGGTGGTGCTGGCCTCCTGCTGCAGCTGGAGAGGGGAGAAGAGACACAAGGCTGTGGCCTGGCAGGTGCACTGCCTGGAGGCGGGTCAGGTGGGCACCAAACCACATACATGGGTCCCCAAAACATCACTGAAACTGAGCCATGCTGTCTACAAGGAACACCTGGTGTGCATTATACAAATGTCAGGCCTGAATCTCTCTCCCAAGAAGATTCCTCTCCTACAAAAGCTCAGAGGAAAACTGAAACAAAATAACTGAAGGAAAGGCTCGGTGCCCATAGCACAGTGGTTACGGCGCCAGCCACATACATCAAGGGTGGCTGGTTCGAACCCAGCCTGGGCCTGCAAAACAACAATGTCAACTGCAACAAAAAATAGCTGGGCGTTGTGGTGGGTGCCTGCAGTCCCAGCTACTTGGGGATGCTGAGGCAAGAGAATTGCTTAAGCCCAGGAGTTGGAGGTTGCTGTGAACTGTGATGCCATAGCACTCTGCCCAGGGCAACAGCTTGAGGCTGTGTCTCAAAAAAAAAAAAAAAGAAGAAGAAGAAGAACTGAAGGAAAGATGAGCAACTAAGCACTTCTTTCCAGAACACCACCACATCTCCACTGGTGGGTGTGAAACTGTGAATCTGCTCATTATGACACTGTCACAATCAGCACGTCAGTTCCTCCCCACTGCCACTGGACGAAACTAGATCCTTAAAGAATTCAGGTTTGATGCACGAATGGGGAAAAATATGGCTGACCCTTACACTGGGATGTGAATGGATCTTCAAAAGGAGTGAACTGTTGCTCCAGGCTACAACATGGGGGACCCTGAGAAGCAGGGGAAGGGAAAGGCCAGGTGCTGTGTGATTCCATTTGTGCGAAGGCCTTGGACCAGGTATATCTACAGAGACAGAACGCAGACTAGTGGTTGCCCAGGGCTGCAGAGAGGTGGAAATGGGAGCCACTGCTTAAACCGGGTTTCTCCTTTGAGTGATAAAAATGTTCTGGAACTAGACAGAGGTGGAGGTTGCACAACATTGTCAATGCACTAAACACTACTGACTTGTTCACCTTAAAATGGTTAATTTATGTCATCTGAATTTTACTGCAATAAATAAATAGGTAAATATCTTAGGTCCAAATCTATTCAACACCACCTGAGTCCTCTGAATGCTTAGCAGCTTGGAGGGAGGAAGGTGCTGCTGGGGGTGGGGGGTGGGGGTGGCATACACCAAGGTCTGGCTCTGCTGCGGCTCTCAGCGGGCCTGGGAGGGTCACCTCTCTTCCTGACATCCTCACCCTGCACGAGGGCAGTGGACCAGGTCAGAGGGCACCACCACGAGCCACTTGCACAGCAGAGCTCCCCAGGCAGCTGCCAGGCACCAGGCTCAGCTCTTTAGACACTCCTCCTTCCTCAGAGAAGACTTTTCCTATCTTTAAAAGGAAGTTGAGGGTAGCTCCTGGTCTCTGTGACAGTGGGCAGGATCAACAAGGTGTCAATTAGTTCATTGCATCTCATCATGTTGTCCTGATTTTGACACTTGTACTGCCTTTTGGCCAAATGTTAACCCAAGGGGAGTCCGCATGAAGGGTGGGTGTGAATTCTTTGTACTCTCTTTGCAGCCTTCTTATAAACCTAAAATTCTTTCCAAATGAAAAGTTTTAAAAAATGTTGAAAGGAGTCTTTTATACTTTAATAGGTTGGAAACCCGTGGACTAAGCTAAATTCACCCCATAATTGTTTTTTTTTTCTTTTGAGACAGAGCCTCACTGTTACTCTGGGTAGAGTTCTGTGGTGTCAAAGCTCACAACAACCTCAAACTCTTGGACTCAAGCAATCCTCTTGCCTCAGCCTCCTAAGTTGCTGGGACTATAGGTACCTGCCACAAGCCTGGCTAGTTTTTTTTTTAGACAGAGCCTCAAGCTGTCCCCCTGGGTAGAGTGCTATGGCATCACAGCCCACAGTAACCTCCAACTCCTGAGCTCAAGCGAGTCTCCTGCCTCTGCCTCCCAAGTAGCTGCACTGGCTCCTGGGCCCCAGGCTAGTTGGGCCCTTGCAAAATGCTTGTATCATTCCTGGGGGACCACACGTCACCACCTGACTGACTCTGGCCTCTCCCAGATTTTACTGTCTGGGCTGAGCAGGAGGCCCAGCTCACACGATTCTCTTGCCTCAGCATCCCAATGAGGATGGTGGGTGTGGCCTGAGGACTGCTGGAGCTGTTGCCTATCTGTCTGTCCACCCCATCTCTTCTCACACACTTTGTTTCAGGAAATAAGGACCCTTCTCTTAGCTCAGCTGCATCTGAGGTTCTCTGGAGCTTTAAGGGAGGCACCTGAAGGATGGGCTCCCAGGTATAGCCCCAAACCCTATAACCTGTAGGTGTCCTGCTGACCTGTAAGAGGGGTTCCATCTTCTGTAGCACTGCCTGGGCAGTGGCCTGGAGGGCTTGGACAGCCTCAGTGGCCACACGCTCTCTTGATGCAGCTGTCTTCTCCAGGGCCCTCACCTTCTGCCCCAGGTCCTCAGCCTTGGACTTCTGAGGCTGTAGGGAGATGGTGGGCTCAGGCAAAGCCTGGCAGGAGGAGCAGGGGGCAGAGCCTCTCCCTGGGGAGAAGCACCCTACTGAGCAGAAGCTGAGGGTCAGACCCAAGCCTCAGAACCCGGGTGGCCACACTGATGCCCCAGGTACAGCAGAAGCCCCAGGGGTAGGGAGACAGGAGGCTGAGAGGCAGAGGGAGAGAAGGCAGCCTGGGGCACCAGTCACTTGAGGCTCACACTCAATGCCCCCTCCAGGTTCTAGCTTTGCGGTCCTGAGCAACTCAGCTAACCCTCCTGACCCACATTTCCTCACTGCAAAGTGAGAGTCCCTCCCCAGGTCCACCATGCTGTAGTTGAGACGTTGGGGCCAGCTATGCTTCAGAACGTAGAATTCTCTGGACTTTAGAGAAGCAGACTGTGTAGGCTCTGCATGTTAGAAACACCTCAGGGTGAGGCAGCAGCCCGGGAAAACATGTCCACACCCAGTGTGACTCTTCACACACGTGGGAGGGGCAGAGGCTGCCAAGGACCAGTCTTTGGCAGTCAGCAGGGGACAGGTGTGGTCCCCAGTGCATTTGCATAAGCTCAGTCCTTCTTTAAAGTTCAGTTTCTGAGTTTTGGGATTTCAGGGATTTATCCAGAGGAGATGAGTGTAGGGTTGACAGGCACAGAGGGGCCAACTGGCCGCCTTGCGCTTTACTCACAAATCCCCTCCCAGCCCCACAGAAGTAGCCCTGAAACAGCTCAACAGGCAAGTTCCATGTGACAAACCAAATCACAGGCTCAGGAGGGAAAGTCTTGGACTGAGGTCCCAGAGCTAGAGTGGCAGAGCTGGGACTTCTCTCCTTGTCTGTCTGGTATCATTGTTAATGTCACCAACGTGGAGAAGCGGCCCCAACCTCGATCTCATCAAACACTGGCTGAGCTGACTCTGCCAAGCCCTGCAGGTGGAGTCTCTCATTTAGTGTAATTAATTAAATTATTTAGAGACAGTGGCTCACTCTGTTGCTCTGGGTAGAGTGCCATGGTGTTAGCCTAGCTCACTGCAACCTCAAACTTCTGGCCTCAAGCGATCCTCTTGCCTCAGCCTCCCGAGAAGCTGGGACTCCAGGCGTCTTTCCACAATGCTCAGCTGATTTTTTTTTTCTATTTTTTAGTAGAGACAGGGCCTTGCTCTTGCTCAGGCTGGTCTCAAACTCCTGAGCTCAAGCAATCCTCTCACTTCAGCCTCCCAGAGTGTTGGGATTACAGGTGTGAGACACTGTGCCCAGCTGGATTATCTCATTTCAACTGACTGTTAGACAGCTGAGGCCTCCTGCCTCTGTCTAACCCCACAGCACAAAGAGCTCCGAAGATAACTAGCTGACCAGTGCTCCAGAGGCAGCCAGTGACGCTAGGCACGGGGCAGCATCTGCGATGACATCCTGCACAGTGGCCAGCACTCTCTTGGCTTCAGGCAGCGCCTCAGTGACAGCTATGCCCAGTGCTTTCTGGGCTGCCTGGACCTCCTGGTACCTGGGAGGAAACAGAGGCCACAATAGCCCAAGGACCCGGTGCAGGGCAGCCTTGCCCGTCACTGTCTGGGGGCTAGAATGGAGCCCCTGATGTGCAAAGGCTCCTCCCAGCTTCCCAGGCAGAGCTGCCCGCTGCAGGGTCCGTGCCTGTGGCTGGCCTTGGAAAGTGGCCACTATGCTGCACCTTTCACAGGGGTGGGACAGCAGGGGGGAGGACCACATCCTCCTTAGTTCAGTGACTTTTTCTGAAAGGGCTCACCTGGTTTGCACTCGAGAATCACGTTTTGCAAACGTTTAGCTCCTCAGGATGAATAGTAAAGAGGAGATGCCTGGTGTGTGGGAAGCACAGCGGCCCAGGCCTGGTCTTGACTTGGCCACGCCCTTGCTGATGACCCTTGGTGTGTCACTCTCTACTGGTAAATGAAGACCCCTGGGCTGCATGATCACTTTGGGCTGACCCCCTGTAATCCACCAACTAAATCAGGCTTTCCGTCCTATCCAGCTGTTTACACCTTGCCCCACTTGGACCTCCCCACACAGCACTGCTGGGGTGGAGACCCCAGCTTCCTTTCCATCCCTTACCCCTCTTGGACAGCTGGGGTCCTGGCCCTGGAGGTGGGTCATGTGACTTCACCCCAGCTGTGCTCACTGGCTCAGGGTAGACACCTGATCTGAGCTGAGCCAGTTTGAGTCTCTCATCTGGGAACGTCAACCTAGGACTCAGCAAGATATTGACTGGTGAGTGTCCACTGAGCCCTGAACTGAGAGGGACAGATGGGGTCACCCACACAGAGACGCGGATCTGGTCTGCAGAGGCAGAGAAGGAAGCTGGGGCCAGAGAAGAAATGAGAGAAGTGGCCTGCGGGCAGGGTGGCGAAGCCAGGGCACCCAAGCTCTGGGTCCCAGCCCTTGTGCCTTCTCTGGAGAGGCTGGGCTGCTTCCCCTAGGCACGGGGTTCCTGTAATTCACCCCCAAGTGGGCCCATGATCCTGAGGCCCCACTCCAAGTGAGACACAGACCCCAGACACCCCAACCCACCACACAGGTCAGGACTCTGTAAGTCGGTCCTGGGACCAGCAGCCTCTGGCCCTGACAGCTCCAGGAGGCCAAGTCCGTACCCACATCTGGGAGGTCTCACCTGTCCTCCAGTTCCCGTTGAGCTTCCAGGGCCACAGTACCCTCCACCAGACTCCAGAGAAGCGTGTAACTGGCGTTGGAGGCAAGCAGTGCCCTCCAGGCAGCAGCTTCAATCCTAGCAGCGCTGCCTCTGTGACTGTATGAAAATGCCCATGTGACCATCACCAAGGGCTCACGCAGAAGGGGCCTGGGCCCAACCACACCCCCTTTCCCAGAGTACAGCCATGAGGATGGGGATTCCTTTTCTGTTCTCTGCCTGACACATAGTGAGGACTAAGAGAGGAAGGGTCCCTCACACCCTGTTTCTGTTACAGTTTATGCCCGTTGTCCTGCCATAAGGATTAAGGGCCTTTATCACACATTAAAACACCTTAGTTCAGACAGAAAATTACAGATACCCTAACACAGACAGCCTGGGTTTGAATTCTGGCTTTATTTCTTTTTGTTTTTGAGACAGAGTCTCACTATGTCGTCCTTGGTAGAGTACTGTGGCGTCATAGCTCATAGCAACCTCGAACTCTTGGGCTCAAGATATCCTCTTGACTCAGTTTTTCATTTTTAGTAGAGATGGGATCTTGTGCTAGTTCAGGCTGGTCTTGAACTCATGAGCCCAGACAATCTACCCACCTCAGCCTCCCAGAGTGCTAGGATTACAGGTGTGAGCCAGTGTGCTTGGCTGGCTTTATCTCTTTTAAGCTGTGTGTCCTTAAGCAAGTCACTTCACTTCTCTGAATTTGCTTCTTCATCCAAGAAGTGAGTCTAAGCCCCTGGAGCATGGCCGAAGGGGAAGGCTGCTGCAGCCTTGCACTTTAGGACTTAGGCTGTTTCTTAAAAGCAATAGATGGAAAAACCCGAGTGTCTGCTAATGGATGACTGGATAAACGGAATGTGGCATATCCACACAGTGGAATATTATTCAGCCATGAAAAGTAGTGAAGTACTGATCTGTGCTACAATGAGGATGAAGGGAAGCCAGATGTAAAAGACCACCCGTGGTATCACTCCATTAATACAAAATGCCCAGAACAGGCAAATCCAGAGAAACAGAAAGTGATCAGTGGCTGCCAGGAGCTGGGGGAATGAGGAGAAATGGGCAGTGATGGCAAATCGGTGAGGGTTTGTTTGGGGGTTGATGGAAACATTCTAAAGTTGGTCGTTGTGACGGCTATACAACTCTGTGAATATACATAACCCCTGAATTGTACAGGGTGTGAATTATACCTCATTAAAGCTGTTATTAAAAATAAACCCCGTGGATGCTCCCAGATGCCTTCAGTCCAACCATTGCCCCCAACATCTCCTTACTACATCTCCTTCTCATGGTGGTGACACCTGCTTCCCAAACTAGGCAGCTCTTGTGTCATCTGATCCCAACTCCTGCTGTGAGGGTAACTGGGGGGCTGTCCCTGAGCCTGGAACCCCCGAGAGAAGGGCTGGGCATGATGTCACCACACCCCAAGCACCTGGAACTCACCTCCTGGCAAGGGCACGGGCCTCTGTAGCCAGAGGACTCCAGTGTATGGGCGGGCTGAGTCCTTCCAGAGGAATCACCTTTAGGGAAAAGAGGAAAAGAGGAAGAAACTGATGGCCCAGCCCCAAAGCTCAAGGGCCACATTTGGCTAAATTACTAGGCAGAACTGAATGGTGTCCTTAATTTTATAAACACACAAACATAACCACAAAGTCAGCCTCCAGCAAGCAGAGTCCTAGGATGCAGAAATACCAAACACGACACACCTGCCAGTGACTGCACGCTCACTGTCTATGTGCAATGTGCCCGCTCTCTGCAAACTTTATCTCACTGAATCGGCGCGGGAGGCACTGTGTGGTCCCCACTTTGCATATGTAACCAAGCCTCCCAAAGGGGTTCGGTTCTTGCCCAGGGTCACCAGGTTCATGGCAGGGCTAGGGCAAGGATCAGTGCCCATGTTCAGGAAAGGGGTGCCCTGGCGTACCAGAGATTCAAGAACGGTGGCTGCATGTAGAATCTCCTCTTCTGAGGACGCCAGCACTGCCTCCACGTCTGCCAGCTGGACACAGGTCTTCCGGGCTCCAGTCTGGGTACAGTGGGCACCCTTGCTCAGCACCCGCAGCTGCTCCCGGGTGGCCTTCACAGCACCCTCAAGGCCTGTGATTTGTTCCAGGAAGGCTTCTCGGGCCCCTGCAGGAGGCCCATAGTTCAGAGCCATAGAGATATCACACTGAAGTCCCCACCCCTTAGAGTCCTCCTTCTGTGCCCCCTATTCTCCCCAGGCACATGGACTCCATCAGCATCCCTGGATACCAATGGTTAGTTCCAAATGAAATGTCTCCCCATTTTACAGATGCAAAGGTTGAGGCCCAGAGAAAGCAAAGCAGACTCAAGGTGCCACACGCAGTAAGTCAGCCAGACACAGGGGACCAGGAGGGAGCCAGGCCTTCTAGAGCCACACAAGTAATTCCTCGATCAGGAGCAGCAGTGACACTCCACTGCAGTCAGCTCTGAAATTCACAACGTTGGTCACAATTGGGCGTTTTAAGACGTGGCACCTGAGAGCCTCATTCTGACACTAGTCCTGTGAATGGAACTCAGATCGTCCACACCAGGGCCTGAAGCAGCTCAGGCTTGTAACTACAGAAGTTCTCCAAGTGATTTGCTTTCAGTGCCATCTATATTTCCATGCCCTTGGCTGGGCGAGGTGGCTCACGCCTGTAATCCCAGCACTCTGGGAGGTGGAGGAGAGTGGATTGATCAGGCTCAGGAGTTTGAGACCAGCCTGAGCAACAGCAAGACCCTATCTATACTAAAAACAGAAGAAAAGCCAGGCGTAGTGGCTATTATAGTCCCAGCTACCTGTGAGGCTGAGGCAAGAGGATTCCTTGAGCCCACGAGTTTGAGGTTGCTGTGAGCTATAATGCCTTGGCATTCTACCAAGGGCAACACAGTGAGACTCTGATTCAAATAATACATGAATAAATAAATTTCTGTGCCCCGGGGCCAAATTCCACCTGGCTTTGGTGACAGGTCCTCTCCTTCCTACTAACTTATTTACTTTCTATGTGCCAAGCACAGTGCTCGGGATACAAAGTGAGCAAAATGCCAAGAATGAAGGCAGCGGGACCCCACTGGTCGGCGCCTTGAGTAGCACTTGTGGAGTGAGTGAGTGAACTCAGCCCATCCCCACTGAGCTTCAAGTCTGGGTAGGACAAGGGGCATGGGGACAGAGGTTGGTATGATAACTCTAGAATCACAAGTACAAGTGGGCCGTGGAGGTCCATAGGCTTAGGATTGTATCATGAGAGCCCTGAGAGCATTGAGGAGACCAGACTAAAGGTGCCATGGCCCACTGTCCCCCATGCCTTTGGTCACCTGCTGTACCTGGCAGCAGGTGGTGGCCCTGATAGACATCCCCCCGGGGGGCCTCTCCCAGCAGAATGTCCAGTGGTCCCCAGGGACTGCTGCAGTCAGACCCCTGCAGCCACTCCTCCATCAAGGTCAGTCTGGCCTTCAGCTTGGCTGCCTGGAGAGGACAAGGAAGAAAACATGTGTGAGGCCATCAGCCTGGAAGTCCTGGCCAGATACCTCCTGCTGGCCTCTGCCTGTGAGTTTCCTTCTCCAAATCCTACTCTGGGCCTCAAAGCTAAGGGCACACCTTTGAGAGGCAGCCCTGCCACCCCATTGTAGCTGTCCCTCCCCTTCTCATGCCCACAGCACCTGCTGACACACAGCTGACCACACCTCTGTCCTACTGAGAGAAGAAGGGAGGGGCAGGAAGGGAAGCCCCATGAAGATTTCTGTCTGTCCTGTCCACTTAGTCCCAGGACTTGGCACAGAGCAGGCATGCTGGGAATACTTGCTGGCTGAGTGTGCTCCGAATGTCCCCAGCCCCACCTTTTAGTCATATGAACAATAACACATTTACAAAGCACCCATTAGGCACCAGGCGCAGTTCCTCCATAAGCACTCTAAGTGGCAGGGCACAGGTCCCAAGCCCTGTCCCCAATTCCAGTGCCCAAAACACTCAGAAAGACCACAGGTTTTCTGTTCCTTACTCAAAGGCAAAATCCAACCTGAACTGATTTGGAAGTAAAACTATTCTGAAAAAGGTTACTTGTGGCCTTTATTTACCCACTTTCAGAAACAGCAAAGGGCTAGTCATGGGGCGGCCTACGTGCAGCTGGGCATGGTACCTGATGCTCCATACATGCCATCTTATGTCTACAATACCGCACTCATGGAAGCCGCCCCCCAGGTTCTGGTAGGGGGCTGTAGGCCTAAAGTGTCTACAATTTGGAGCAAGAGAGGGGCTGAGGCTTACCAGGGCTGCTGCCTGCCTGGGCACATGACAATTAAGGGGTAAGGGAGACCTTGACAGGTCAACCCTAGAGCTCGAGCTCTAGCTTTGTGCCCCACTCAAAATTCTATTTCTGTCCCAGAATAGGCATTCTCCTCTCAACCCTCCTTACCAAGGGATCATCTGGGGTCTCATCCCTACTGAAACTAAGAAAGTGTGGGACCTTGACCCAGGGTAATCAGGAAGGACAGGTGACAAGGTGACCCAGAGCAGGGGACAAACAGGTTGTTCCGGGTGCCCAGAACATAGCTGGTGCTCACTGAGAGGATAGATTAAATGAGAAGGTGGAGCAGGCCTGGGCCGGGCAGACTCACCTCTTCCTTCACCAGGCTGTAGCAGATGGGGCACTCCTGGCACTGTGTGCCATCCTCCGTGAGGAAGAAGTTGTCATGGCAGCGGTCACATTTGTAGCCCGCAAAGCCGGGCCTGCACACGCATGTGCTGTTCTCGTGGCACTGCGCTGAGGTGGTGCCCAGTGGGGAGCACCGGCAGGCTGCAGGGGTGGAGGCAGTGGGTGCTGGGTGCCACCCCCACACTCCAAGCCCCCTGGATCCCCTGTATCCTCATACCTAGCAGCTCCCAGAACCCTTCTGGGCAGGCTCAAATACAGATCCTTGGGCCTTTCCCTGGAAATTCTGATTTAGAAGGTTAGAGATGATGATGGAGAGCCTGACTTATTTGAATGTTCCCTGAGGATCTGAGGACCAGCCAGGTTTAGGAGCTGTCAATGTAGCCCAACCATATAGATGAGGAAACTGAAGCCCAGAGAAGGCCCCAGGCACACAGGAACTCAGCTGCTCTTGGGACACCTGCCCTGCATCCGACCCTCCCCTCTCCTGTGGTAGCATCTTCCCCATTGGCCATATTTGCCCCGAGACCTCAGGCTCCACCCTCCAGGCAGCCTGGGAAGGACCCAGCCTCCTTACCCCGGCAGCCCTTGATGGAGAAGCCAAAAAAACCGAGCTGGCATCTGTCACAGGCCTGGCCCACAACACCTGGGCGGCAGGGGCACTGGCCAGTCTTGGGGTGGCACTGGTTCTCCTGGGAACCCAGCGGGTGACACATACAGCTGTGATAAGGGAAAGAACCTGGTCTGAGGCAAGCTTGGGGCACTCCTAGCCCAGCCTATTCTGGCTGCAGTCGGCCAGCACCGTCAGGTCGTGGTCCTCCCCTAACAAAGCCCCCTCCTATCAGTGTGTGTCATCAGCTTCCCCAAGCTGTGCTCTGGAAAATACAAGTCTCACAGGATGCTTGCTAGAAAAAGATGAAAAAAGGCTATGACACAAATATGTCTTGGAGAGATTACACCCCTCCATTGGAAAATCACAATGCAATTAGCATATTAAAGGCTCTGATAAGTCCTGCAAGGAAGAAACCTGTTTGCTTCACTGAGCATTTCCCTGGAGTCCTCTATTGTTCCCTAAAGATGCTTGTCTAAGATGCTACTGTGGCCAAAAAGGTCACTCAGTGATGGGCGTCACTGAGAAGGGAATTAGAGACCAAACTGGCCACCTGCCCACTTGGACATCCCCTAGGGCTGCTCTTGGCCTGGGAACTGGGCTGGCAGGGCCATGAGTCTGATGCCAAGGGACTATGCCTTTGTCCCCATTTGGAGAAGGGCACGGTGTACCTGGCAGTGGGCCTGGGACACCACCTTTCCAACAAGGCCCCTCCCTGGAGGCTGCCTGGTGCCTTCTTCCATCTGGAGAGGGACTCAGGGCACTCATAGCCTTGATCCACCTACCTCCGGCAGCCCCTCCCAGGCTGGAGGTCGAAGAAGCCAGGGCTGCAGTGGCCGCAGTCCCTCCCGGTCACATGAGGCAGACAAGAACACTGGCCTGTCACAGGGTCGCAGGGTATCTGCTCACCGACTGAGCCCTCAGGGTTGCAGCTGCAGGCTGGGGGTGGGAGCAGGAATGGGTGTTGGGGAATAGTGCAGATTGTTCAGTCTTTGGGGGTCTGAATATGCGGGAGCCCCCGATGACACACATGCTGTCCAGGTTCCTAAATCCCTCCTGGAAGAAGGTTCTAGGGCTGAGCTCAAATCCAGCCCATTGGCTATGCCCTGGGCCCTGTCAGGCTGAAGGGAGGGCCAGAGAGAAGGGTTGGAGTCAGATGCAGAACCCTGTACCCACAGCTTTGGGTCACATGGCCCTACCCTCCGGGCTACTGCAAGGGCAGCATCTCACCCAGGGTCAGTGTAACACTTCCTGAAGGGGCTATGCGGGAAAGGGCCCTGGAATGAGTCAGTTTAGAGCTGACACTGCTTCTCTCCTATGGGGCTTCTGGGAGCTTCCACAGGCTGCAGCCCCCTGAGGGGACAGAAGGCTGAATGTTAACCCAGGAGAAGGGAAGGGGAGACCTGACTGGAAGCCCAGGGGTAGGACCACCACAGGGCAGTCTTGTGCTAACTGCAGACTGTGAGATAAGGGCTGAATTAACCAGGCAGAGAAACCCGTCCCAGCAGCAGAGTTAGATCTCAGGGGTGAAAGAGACCAGAAGACCAAGGCTTCCTAGACAAGGAGCTGCTGCACAGCCTGGCAGAGGGCCCTGAGGTGAGCACTCACATGCACATCTCTCAGCAGGCCATGGCGCCAGGGCACTTCCGTAGAAGCCTTCCCGACAGCGCTCACAGTGATCACCCGTTGTGTTGTGCAGGCAGCGTGAGCAGTGGCCAGACAGGGGGTCACAGTTGCCCACGGCATTGGGGTCCACATTTCCGTTGCATTGGCACTGGCGGCAAGGCTGGGGGGCTCCAGAGAGCCCCAGTGGGTCCCCAAAAAAGCCATCATCACAGATCTCACAGCGCCGCCCTGTGTGTGGAGAGGACAGGTGTGAGGAATGGCAGGGCTTGGACCCTGAGGGGTAAGGGTGGGGGTAAGCAAAGTGGCACCCTCTGGTCTCATCGGGCAGTGCCCGGACTCGGTCAGGCAGATGTGGAGCCAGCTTCCAGCTCTGCCCACTGGCTATGTGATCTTGGGAAAGCCCCTGTGCCTCTCTGAACTCAGGCTTCTAGTCTGCAAAGTGGGGACAAGAATGGCAGCTCCCTCACAAGACTGTTGAGAGGGTTTGGTGGCATAATTTGTGCAAAGCACTTAACAGGGAGCCTAGTGTGTGGTAAGTCTTCAGCTGTGGTGTCTGTCATCACATATCCGTCCTCATCCTCATCCTCATCATCACTATGACCTTCACCACTCTCTTCATTAGCACCGCAATCACCACCAACATCACCTCACATTACCTTGACTGTTACCTCATCACTTCATCATCATCTGGATTCTGCATCATCAACTTCACCCTCACCTCGTTTGACCTTTATCTCATCAACTTCATCATCATCATCTTGACCTTGGCCTTCAACATCACCTTCACTCTCACATCATTTATCTCATTACCTTCATCATCTTGACCTTCATCGTCACGTTCAGCCTCATGTCATTTGATCCTTATCTCATCAACTTCCTCATCATCGGTTTTTGTTTTTTTTTTTGAGAGAGCCTCAAGCTGTCCCCCTGGGTAGAGTACTGTGGCGTCACAGCTCACAGCAACCTCAACTCCTGGGCTTAAGCGATTCTCTTGCCTCAGCCTCCCAAGTAGCTGGGACTACAGGTGCCCACCACAATGACTGGCTATTTTTTGGTTGTAGTTGTCATTGTTGTTTGGTGGGCCCAGGCTGGATTTGAACCTGCCAGCTCTGTTGTATGTGGCTGGCGCCTTAGCCACTTGAGCTACAGGCACCAAGCCCTCATCATCATCTTGACCTTGATCTTCATCATCACCTTCACCCTCGCATCATCTGACCCTTATCTCATCACCTTCCTCATCATCTTCATCATTATCCTGATCACTCTTCCTTTCATCATCACCTTCACTGTCACCGTCCAATGTCCCTGTCTCCCTCCTTCTCATAACTCCTCCTCCTCTCCCCTCAGCTGCTCTTTCTGGTCCCCTCACCTTTCATCTGCTTCCTGTGGCTTCCGAACTCACTTTAGACTGTGTGTCTCAGACTCCTGCCCCACTTTCTGGGTTTGACCTGCAGTCACTGCTTCATCTTTCAGCCCCAGGAGATATGCTATGTGGAGGAGGCTTTTGGAGGGTCCATTTGGGACACAAAGCATTATAGAAATATATTTGTGCTATGTGGTAGTGTAGCTACCCACTACCCAGCTATGCTCAGTCTCTGCATATCCCTACTGAAGCAGAAGTCTGGGGGATCCACAGACCCAGACAGCAGCCGTGGTCCCCGGGGGTGGCAAGCTGAGGGCTGTGTTAGGTTGCCGTGTTCACACACACCTTCATGCTCCTCTTTAGATCTCTACACTGCTTCAATGGTCACAATGAGTATGTACTAATTTTATGATTTAAAAAATTGCTGTTGTCAATGTGAAAAATAGATGTGAGCTTCCCGTGTCCTAAAAATTCATCAGTTCTGTTGAAATCAAGTTAATGTTACTGAGGGAAATGAGGGATGTTAAGGAAGAAAAGAAAAGGAAAGAACGGAAAAGAAAAATCTGAACAGAGTGCAAGGTTGAGGCTAGCATCTGCCGTTGGGATTCTAAAACAAAAATGAAGTTAGACAGGAAAGAGGGAGCTCGAAGCTGGTGATGAAGGATGTGGGCCCTGTAATTAAGTGGCCATTCACTTGGATGTCCCCAGGTAGAGACAACTTGCAGAGCAGGAGGTAGCTCTAGGTACCCTGGAAGGGCTGCAAAGGGTCAGGATGGTAGGCAGGTGTCATCCCAGGACAAGCGGGGTGCATCCATCTCAAATGTCCAGGTGAGCTCTGCATGTGCTAGTCCCTCACAAGGCCCAAGGACGCTTGTGGGGATAAAGAAGGGACAGGGACCTGGCAGAAAGCCTTAGAATGGAAGTTCATCCAGGCGACCCTCTCCCCCACGGTCTGCTCCCCTGAAATCCTCCCGTGGGTCAGCCTGTGCTTCTCTAACTACCCGCTCTCATTGGCTGGGCCTCCCTCACATCTGCTCATCAGGAAGGCCACAGTCAGGATGCAGAAAATGTGAGGAAGGTTATGGAAATGGAGGGATGGCGTGATGTCCAGTGGGGTGTAGGGTCCCGCTGGAGGGACCTCAGTCCCTCGGTTCTCAGGCTGCCTGTTCTGGGGCCATCTGCCCAGCCCTGCTGGCTGCCAGGGAGCTGTTCTCACAACAGTCCCCGTGAAACAGAGCATTTGACAGGACCGATTTAATGCACCACAGGTATCAAAAGCAAAGTCAGATGTCTAGAAGCCATGAAACATTATGCTGCGTGAAATGAGCCAGACACAAAGGACAGACGTTGTACAGGTCCAATTATGTGAGGCACCTGGGATGGCTAAATTCAGAGAGATGGAAAGCAGGACAGTTGTCATCAGGGGCTGCAGGAGGAGTGAGTGCAATTAGTTGATTTAATGGGCACAGTTTCTGTGTGGGATGATGAAAAAAGTGTGGAACTGGGTGGTTGTGACAGCTGAGGACACTGTGAATACACTCTGTGACACTGAGTTATACACTTAAGAATGGTGAAGATGGCAAACCTTACATTATGGATGTTCCCGTTATTAACGCAATATGACAAAAGCCTTTGAATTGTACATTTAAGCAGGTAAACTGTCAGGTATAGGAGATAGGAGGAGGACCAGGGGAGGGGACTTTCTTCTTCACACATTGCCTAATGATGTTTTTAAAAGCCAGGAGTTGAATCGGAGTTGAACCTGGCTGTGTGGCATCATCACCCTGGGAACCTTCTGGGAATCCAGACTTCTGGGCTGTATCTCAAGCTGTGACACCAGGCTCTGTGGGCCAGGGCCCAAGCATGGGTATTTTCAAAGGATCAATGTATCAGGGATGGCCAGAAACCCACAGCAACCTGGGGCCCTGGCTATGGGGCTAAGGGATTTGGGGTCCCCAGAAGTCATGTCTGCCATCCTTAGGCTGGGATCTCCCCACCTGCCATACCCCAAACACAGGGCAGAGTCAGGGCATCAGACTGCCCCCCCACTCCCCGAGCAGGGCTCTGGGGCAAGAATCACTCACCTCTCTGGCCCGGTGGACAGTGAGTGCACACCACCTCTCCGCTTCCTGGCATGACTGTGCAGGCCGACTGTCTGGGGCAGGGGCAGGGCTTGCAGGGGTTGGCTTGGCCTGTGAAGGGTGTGCCATAGAAACCAGGCGAGCAGCGCTCACAGGACAGGCCCTCAGTGTGGTGGCTGCACACACAGATCCCTGAGGGGTGAGACAAGCACTGCCTGAGTCCAGAACACCACGGGGTGGTGGGCGTCCTAGTGGGAGAGGTCAGGGAACACAACCTGGGTAGAAGAGGCTCAGGAAACCTCCGAGGTGGAGGCAGCACACCCTGGAGTCCCCCCCACCCTGGACTCATGCCCACCACTTACTGCCCCTGTGATTCTGGGCAACTTGTCTAAACCCCCCCACACCTCAGGCCCTGACCTGTAAGACAGAATAACAGCAGCACTGACTTCAAGGTTTCCATCAGCGCTCAAGGTGACCTGCGTCTGAGGCACCACACACTCCCTGCACTCTGGGTGATCAACAGCGACATCACTCTGTCCCCAGACCTTGCTCTGAACCAATGGACCACACGGCTATGCTCACTCTCCTAGTGTTGTCCTCTGAACTCAAATGGACCAAAGGAAGATTGACTAGCCCGAAGGTAGGCACAGGCCCAGGATTCTGGCCTTGATGCAACGTTCTAGGACCTGGTCTCAGAGAATGGAGCCCCAAACCTGCCCTCTGGCTTCTGAAGATGGTGAATGCTGCAAAGTCCTTCTCTAGCCTGGATTGCTCAGGTAGGTCCCACTCCAGGGGTCAGGTGAGAAGCCCAGTTGAGAAGGGGTTAACCACCACCACCTCTCCAGAAAGCCCCCAGCAGCACCCATTCAGATGAGTGGGAGCCCCACATCGGTGGACATGCAGCAGGGGTGGCATCCGGGGGACTGTCCCTACCTAGGCCCAGCACCCACAGGCTCATGACTGCTCCCAGCATGGGCAGTGGTGGCCACTTGCCCAAACAGAGCAGGAGTCACAGCAGGGCCAGAGGCTACATGGGGGTGGCAACCTGGTCCCAGCACATGGATGGATTCTGCTTCCTCAAGAGAGGCTGCCTGAACAGTACTGGGGAAGGGTTATGAGTCCCCATTCAGCTTGATTAGTGATGCCGGCCATGGGCCCTAGAAGGGAGGATGCCCCGGTGCCATCCCTGGCTAGGTCTGCCAACTCCCAGGTTACTATCTTTCCAGGAAAAAAAATTGCTGAGCTGGCCTTCCCTTTCTCAGAGAGAGCCCACCTGCTCCAGGGAGAGGCCTGAGTGTGGGAGTGGAGAGGCCCGTCCAGCCCCCTCCAGGACCTCCTGGCTGTGTGACCTGGAGAGAAGCATCTGTCTGTCCCAAGGGGCTCCTCCACAAGTGGGTTGGAACAGTGGGAAGGGACCAACTGACCTGGAAGTCCAGGCTGGAGGGCCATGTGGCTGCCCCATCGTCCCCTGTGAGACGGGACAGCAATGGCTCTGGTACTTGCAGGGACCTTTGCAGGACTCCATGATTTAATATGTAAAAAGGTGGCTCGCACCTGGTGACACTGTTTTATTATTTCCTGACAGTCCTGAAAAGTAGGGACTCTCCTTGCCTGCATTTCCCAGGTGAAGACCCTAAAGTGAGCCCACTTAGCCGTGGCAAAGCTTTGGTGAAAACCAAGTCTGTGTTTTCAGAGCCTGGGGGTTTCCTGTCCTCTGTGTGGCCTTGTCTCCACAATCCCACTTGACAGAAGAGCAAGCAGGTTTGTGGAGGACACCCGTGAGCTACTGATATCTGCCTGACGCTCAGGGGAGCCCCTGCCATGCTAATGCCTCTGCCCCTCCTCACAGAACCCCTCTAGGGCAGGACCCCTGTGGTCTTCCCCTGGCCCTTCCCGGGAAAAGGAGGGCCAGCCCAGAGAGAGGGTAGGCCAGGGCCAGCTGGCCTGCAGAGACCTGATGTATCCAAACTCCTTGGCTCTGCACCTGGTACTTTAATAAATTCCAATGACTAGTTTTGGGGGATTTTTTTTTACAGATTTTGGCCAGGGCTGGGTTTGAACCTGCCACCTCTGGCAGACGGGGCTGGCACCTTACTCCTTTGAACCATAGGCACCGCCCTCCAGTGACTAGTTGTATTAAAATACAAGATGCCCAAGCAGCAGCACAAGATGGCTCAATGCCCGTATGTCACCACAGCTTGGCCAACACCTTGGCACCTGTGCTAGGCTGGCCCATCCAGGTTGGTGCTGTCTCACTGTCGTAGGTATAGCCCAGGTGGCCTTGAGATTGGGTGCTGGGAGACTCACCGGTGTTGGGGTCACAGGTGCCATGCTGGTTACAGGTGCAAGGGATACAGTTGGCATAGGGACCCCCTCGTGGTGTTTCCCTCTTGTATCCTGGAGCACAGGATTCACAGAACTGGCCCGTGTAGCCCTTGGGACATGAACAAGTCTCCACCCAGGAGGCTGGGGAGGAAAGCCCCTGCCGGGCTGATGTGAGCCGAACGGCAGTCAGGAGCACTTGGCCTGCATGGCAAGAAAAGAATGATACTGTGCCTGTTCCTCCCCTAAACCTGCCTGTTTGTATATATACAGTAATAAAGGTAGCCAATGAGTCAGTCATTAAAAAAAAGTCAAATCAAGGGCAAGGGAGACAAAGGGACAATTTTCAGGGTAAGCAATAGATAATGGCTGAGCATTTTATAATGTCCACTCCCACAGGTTGTGAGAGAAATGTAGATTTAAACAACAACGATAGCCTTCAACACCCTCAGACTGGTAAACATTTTATTTATTTATTTTTTGCATCACAGCTCACAGCAACCTCCAGCTCTTGGGCTTAGGTGATTCTTTTGCCTCAGCCTCCTGGGTAGCTGGGACTACAGGTGCTGCCACAATGCCTGGCTATTTTTTGTTGCAGTTTGGCTGGGACTGGATTCGAACTCGCCACCCTTGGTATATGGGGGCGGCGCTCTACTCAGTGAGCCATAGGCGCTGCCCTGGTAAACATTTTAAAGATTGATTACAGTGGCTCAGCGCCTATAGCTCAGCTGGTAGGGCGCCAGCCACATACACCGCAGCTGGCAGGTTCGAACCTAGCCCCGGCCTGCCAAACAACAATGACAACTACACGCAAAAAATAGCCAGGTGTTGTGGCAGGTGCCTGTAGTCCCAGCTACTTGGGAGGCTGAGGCAAGAGAATAGCTTGGACCCAAGAGTTTGAGGTTGCTGTGAGCTGTGATGCCATAGCACTCTACCGAGGGTGACATAATAAGACTCTGTCTCAAAAAAAAAAAAAAGAAGATTGATTAGAGTGGAGGATGGGGTGTGGGAATTCACATGGCCTGCTCAGAACTGGATGCTA